ATCGAGGCTCAGCCTTTCCGCCTACGCTGGCTGGTTGAAGACGAAGTCCCCCACGCGGATCTGGATGCCTATGCGCAAGGTATTCCTCGCCTCCAGCATGGCCTCTTTTTCCGTCTCCTCATCGTCCGAGTAGTGTAGGGGGATGAGGTGTTCCTCGGCGAGTTGCCAGCCGGTTTCGTCCCTAGTTACCTCGTTGGGCGCAAAGAGAAAGCGAAAACCGCAGGCAAACGCGGTCTCCGGGCGAAGCCCCACGTCGTAAAGCTGGCGGCGATGGTAGGGGTTGTCGAAGAGGCGAAAGACACGCCCCCGATTGGACGCCATGAAGAGCACTGGCTTGTCTGCTCCGCTTTTGGGTAAAGTGTTCAGGTCCAGCGTAGAGAAGAAGCGGTCCTTATTGTTGATAAGGTACATGCTCCCGTACTCGCTCAAATTTTGGACAGAAGGATGGGAAGGCGGGTAGTGACGGTCGCCGTTGTACGGGCGATAAAGGTGCTTGGTCAGCACTGGAGGGTCGCCAGCAGTAACCCTAACCCTAACAGTCTTGCTTCGCTCAAGCGGGTCGCAAATGTACGACTCGGAACCTGGAGCATCTGGTATTTCCCAAAGAATATGGGACTGTAGACGATTCCTCTTCATTATTGCATCATCGACGTTATAATTGATGTATGCGTGTAGAGGGGCAGGAGGGGTCAACGAGGTCGACTTGTGCATGTAGTTTAAAACCCTGAACAAGGAGCCGCTGCCGGAAAGAAACAGAAGAACCAAACGAAATTTTATCTGGTTGGGGAGAAACATGCACTGGACACTCTTTGGACTGGGTTCCGAAACGAGTGCTAAAGTACTCCGGTGTGTTGAGCTTTCCTGGTTCTCCCCTCTGTCTCAACGAGCTCGAACTTCTCTGCTCCATCGACCGGTTCATGTGCACTCGCACACATCTTCCTTATTCCAATCATGTTTCGGGCCGTCTGAGGCCTCTGAGTCGTATATCTTGACCGCTAGCACGCCTGCCTTGTACACACATTGATGTTTCCTTGTCCTTTTTTGAAGTACTTGGCGACAGTTCAAGTCGTGGTTTCTTCGCCGACCATACGGCCGAGACGACGGCCCCTGCTGCTCAGAATTGGCCTTGACTTTTCATGCGGACGTGTACTGTGAGCTCACCCAATCACACTCTCTTATGCTCTGCTCACATATACAGGGAGATGGGGTTGGTCGTTCGCTGACGGGCAGCATATTTCTGTACAACCCGCCATTGCCTCCTACTTTTCTGCCCATCATATACATGGGGGCCGTGCCGTCGATGCGCTAGATGCCTGAAAAATCCTCCCTCGCTAGACATCAAGTGTAAATACCGGTTAAGTCGCTCATTAAGTCCACGATTTGTGCCTTTGACATGAGTGAGCGCGTGGAAGAATGCAAGTCTTGCGGGGGAGGGGATGTCTGTGACGCCCACAGGGACATCCCCTGCCACAACAAAGAAAAAGAAAAAGAAGAAGGAAAGAGGTGGAATCGGGCACGGCAATCGTCCACTCTCGAGGCACAATTTCTGGGGGATGGACAGAGCAGTGGAGCAGGTCAGGCAGCGGGCCCGGGCCTGAGTCCGACCTCCGAGCAATCCATTCTTGGGGACGGGCACTCCCTGTCTTCCACCGCCCGCTCACTGAAAAGTGGCCCTCTGATGCTGCGTTTCTTCATCACTTTCGGCATCGCCTGGAGTTCCACTATCATCAGCTGTCTCGGGCCGTATTTTCCATTGGTACGTGGAAAAGTGCGGGGGAGGGGTGCGGTGCTTGTGGGAGAAGGAGGTGACGAAGGAGGTGTCTTCGAGATGACGAAGGGGCGGAAAGGTTGGTGAGAGGATGCTTGCCGGTGCTTCGTGTTTCCCAAAAGGAGGAGAAAGAGAGATATGCATAGGGGGGAAAAAATGGAAGAAGATGGAGGGCGATGGGATCTACACCCCCGCGTTGACTTGTAGTGGGCATAGAGCCGGGGCGGGGACCCTGAGGGGTCCGAGCGCCGGCTGGGCGAGCCATTGATGTAGACATCGCGCCCTCCGATGCAAATTCTGAACTCTCTCACCAGCTTGAATGTCCAACCCCCGCCTTCCTCCTCCTCTTCCAGTACGTGAAGCGGAAATTCGGAGCCTCCTCCACCCTCCTCGGTCTCATTTTCTCCATCACCTCTATCGTCCAATTCCTCACCTGCCCCTTGGTCGGGCCCCTCTCCCGCGCCTTCTCCCGCCTCGTCACCCTCATGATCGGCCTGGTCGTCCTCGCCGCTGGCGCCCTCCTCTTCGGCATGCTGGATTCCATACCCGGATTTATCATCGGCCGTCTCCTCCAAGGCATTGGGAACGGCTTCCTCGAAGTCTCGGGCCTTTCCCTCCTCATGCGTTTCTCCACCGACCTCCGCCGCGACATCGGCCTTCTAGAAGGTGCCTCCGGCGTGGGCTCGCTCCTGGGGCCCTTGATTGGAGGCTTCCTCTCGGCCCGCCTCGGTTTTCGCGCGCTTTTCGGGATGATGACCGCCCCTCTTCTTGCTCTGATTCTTCTCCTCTGGGTGCGCCCCGGCGCGGTGCTCCCGCCCGAGCACAGCCGCGAAGGCCCCGTGTGCGATATGGGGAGCGACGGGGAGGGAGGGGGAGTGGAGGAGGAGGAAGAGGAAGAGGGAGGGCGGGAGGGGATGGAGTACCGGGAGAGGAGGGCGGTGAGGGGCGTGGAGATGGCGCCATTGGCCCCGGGGGACACGGCTTGGGCCCGTCCAGACGCAGGGACCGACGGAGGGCTCGACGGAGGGCTCGATGGAGGGCTCGATGGAGGGCGGGCCACCGCCTCTGAGGATGCCCTGCCGCTTTCTCCGACCTTCTCGCCCCCGCCTGTTGCCCCATCCGCCTACGAATCCTTCGCCGCCACCTCGCAAAAGCTCTTCCGTGCCCTGCTGGTCTCGCCCACCCTTCCTCTCTACATCGCCGCTGTCCTGATCCTGGCGGGGGGACTCTCCTTCATGGACACCTCGTTGACCGAGCATTTGATGATGGCCACGGGCGTTACCTCCTACACGGCCGGCTTGCTCTTCACGGTCCAGGTAGGGAGGGAGGGAGGGAGGGAGGGAGG